TGTATTTCTTAGGAACGGCACTTGTAGCTATTTGACTATAAAAAGTACCAAACATATAATATAATGAATAAAAATGTATGTTACACTGATCAGTAGTAAAGGTCAAAGTAGAAAAAATCTACACTTTTCATGTGCAACTTTTTGTTCCAAATATATGAGAGAATGAATAAAAATATTATGACGTCGCAAAAAGATGAAAAAACTTCAAAATTTGCACACAGTCTGGTTTTCTTATATCTGGTTGCTATGTACAAATCTGTAATATTTGCATTAAATATACCAAACTGATGCTTTTAAATTAATGTATGCATGCCATATGATATTTTTCAGAATTGTTTTACTCCATTCAGTAACACATTTCTATGCTAAAACCTCACTATATTATATGTTTGACCCTTTAAGGGTGCAATCAACAGTTTTTTTCTATGACGTCATATTTTAAGGGACCATGCCTAAGTGACCCTTAGTGGTGGAATGGTTAATAAAGATACTTGTATATAACTAGATATTACTGGAATCAGAATTTTCTCTAGTTTATATTGAAATAAAAATATACTGTACTTTTAATATAGTAAAAAAGTTCTATCCAGAGAAAATGGGGAAAAAGTTGCCTAATCTGAACATAAAAAACCTGAAATCAGGTCATGTTCATACCCATGTAAACATGATACAGGCACATTTCCCATAATCAAAACTGTATGAAATTCATAGGTTTTTACCTGGCCTTTAATAAAAATCTTGTTTCAGGGTACGGTTTCCTGCTTCGAAAAGAGCTACAGTGGCTGCAAATAAGTTTTCAATTTTCACTGCCAAAAAAACAGGATGTTTACAGTGTTGTCTCCCCTCAAAACATGAATATTTAATCTAATTTTTAAAATTATTTTAATCATTCAACCTGTTTAATTTGAAAGCTAATTAACTAATTTTTACAATCAAATACAAAAAACATGATACTTTTTCACCAATTATATGAATAAAAAGGGATTTCCCTCCATGGTTATTTTTAGTCGGGGAATAACCCCTAGTTTTTTATACGAAACTGTTTATAGCACCCTTAAGCAAAACTTTGTATGCGATATATAAAAAATTCTCTACTTTTCTGAATCTGTACATTATATCGATTAAAATGATGTCTTACTTTAAGGATTGCGACCATCGATAGTGAAACTACAGCTCATTTTTTATGTCGCATAGTATTGGCATATTGGCCAGTGGCAAATAGTTAAACTGGCATATTCCAAACATTTCCTGTATCACATTTTCATCAGTTATACAAAGAAAAAAATTTATAAAATTGGGTTTCTATTGAATAAATAGAATAAAAACTATGAAATAAACATAAATAAAGTTACTTTAAACAGATTTTGTCCCTAGTATTATATGAACTAAGGTGTAGCTGAGTTGAGAAAAATATTGAAATAGTGTATTTCTTAGGAACGGCACTTGTAGCTATTTGACTATAAAAAGTACCAAACATATAATATAATGAATAAAAATGTATGTTACACTGATCAGTAGTAAAGGTCAAAGTAGAAAAAATCTACACTTTTCATGTGCAACTTTTTGTTCCAAATATATGAGAGAATGAATAAAAATATTATGACGTCGCAAAAAGATGAAAAAACTTCAAAATTTGCACACAGTCTGGTTTTCTTATATCTGGTTGCTATGTACAAATCTGTAATATTTGCATTAAATATACCAAACTGATGCTTTTAAATTAATGTATGCATGCCATATGATATTTTTCAGAATTGTTTTACTCCATTCAGTAACACATTTCTATGCTAAAACCTCACTATATTATATGTTTGACCCTTTAAGGGTGCAATCAACAGTTTTTTTCTATGACGTCATATTTTAAGGGACCATGCCTAAGTGACCCTTAGTGGTGGAATGGTTAATAAAGATACTTGTATATAACTAGATATTACTGGAATCAGAATTTTCTCTAGTTTATATTGAAATAAAAATATACTGTACTTTTAATATAGTAAAAAAGTTCTATCCAGAGAAAATGGGGAAAAAGTTGCCTAATCTGAACATAAAAAACCTGAAATCAGGTCATGTTCATACCCATGTAAACATGATACAGGCACATTTCCCATAATCAAAACTGTATGAAATTCATAGGTTTTTACCTGGCCTTTAATAAAAATCTTGTTTCAGGGTACGGTTTCCTGCTTCGAAAAGAGCTACAGTGGCTGCAAATAAGTTTTCAATTTTCACTGCCAAAAAAACAGGATGTTTACAGTGTTGTCTCCCCTCAAAACATGAATATTTAATCTAATTTTTAAAATTATTTTAATCATTCAACCTGTTTAATTTGAAAGCTAATTAACTAATTTTTACAATCAAATACAAAAAACATGATACTTTTTCACCAATTATATGAATAAAAAGGGATTTCCCTCCATGGTTATTTTTAGTCGGGGAATAACCCCTAGTTTTTTATACGAAACTGTTTATAGCACCCTTAAGCAAAACTTTGTATGCGATATATAAAAAATTCTCTACTTTTCTGAATCTGTACATTATATCGATTAAAATGATGTCTTACTTTAAGGATTGCGACCATCGATAGTGAAACTACAGCTCATTTTTTATGTCGCATAGTATTGGCATATTGGCCAGTGGCAAATAGTTAAACTGGCATATTCCAAACATTTCCTGTATCACATTTTCATCAGTTATACAAAGAAAAAAATTTATAAAATTGGGTTTCTATTGAATAAATAGAATAAAAACTATGAAATAAACATAAATAAAGTTACTTTAAACAGATTTTGTCCCTAGTATTATATGAACTAAGGTGTAGCTGAGTTGAGAAAAATATTGAAATAGTGTATTTCTTAGGAACGGCACTTGTAGCTATTTGACTATAAAAAGTACCAAACATATAATATAATGAATAAAAATGTATGTTACACTGATCAGTAGTAAAGGTCAAAGTAGAAAAAATCTACACTTTTCATGTGCAACTTTTTGTTCCAAATATATGAGAGAATGAATAAAAATATTATGACGTCGCAAAAAGATGAAAAAACTTCAAAATTTGCACACAGTCTGGTTTTCTTATATCTGGTTGCTATGTACAAATCTGTAATATTTGCATTAAATATACCAAACTGATGCTTTTAAATTAATGTATGCATGCCATATGATATTTTTCAGAATTGTTTTACTCCATTCAGTAACACATTTCTATGCTAAAACCTCACTATATTATATGTTTGACCCTTTAAGGGTGCAATCAACAGTTTTTTTCTATGACGTCATATTTTAAGGGACCATGCCTAAGTGACCCTTAGTGGTGGAATGGTTAATAAAGATACTTGTATATAACTAGATATTACTGGAATCAGAATTTTCTCTAGTTTATATTGAAATAAAAATATACTGTACTTTTAATATAGTAAAAAAGTTCTATCCAGAGAAAATGGGGAAAAAGTTGCCTAATCTGAACATAAAAAACCTGAAATCAGGTCATGTTCATACCCATGTAAACATGATACAGGCACATTTCCCATAATCAAAACTGTATGAAATTCATAGGTTTTTACCTGGCCTTTAATAAAAATCTTGTTTCAGGGTACGGTTTCCTGCTTCGAAAAGAGCTACAGTGGCTGCAAATAAGTTTTCAATTTTCACTGCCAAAAAAACAGGATGTTTACAGTGTTGTCTCCCCTCAAAACATGAATATTTAATCTAATTTTTAAAATTATTTTAATCATTCAACCTGTTTAATTTGAAAGCTAATTAACTAATTTTTACAATCAAATACAAAAAACATGATACTTTTTCACCAATTATATGAATAAAAAGGGATTTCCCTCCATGGTTATTTTTAGTCGGGGAATAACCCCTAGTTTTTTATACGAAACTGTTTATAGCACCCTATGTCAACTTGATTTTTACCATTTAGATCATATCCCATTTTAATATTATATGCTATGCATTTACCAGCTTTCTAATCATGCGACCTTCACATTTTATATGCTTTTAGCTTTACTGATGATCTTTAATACCTAGCTTAAATTATCATGCTTATAATCTGCTTATTACCACCATGCTTATAGTGCTTCATTTTGTGTTATGTAACTTATTGCATGCCTAGTATTGTATTGTTATGTTTGTATGTCGGTTAAAAGCTCATTAGAGCTTATGTTATGTCCTTATTTGTATACCATGCCGACTCTAAATAAAGCTAGGCACCATTGCAAATGATCTAGATTGGGGAAAACACATAAACATCATCACAGGAAAAGCCAGCCGAAGCCTTGGTTTCTTACACCGAAACCTCCACATCAGCTCAAAATCCACCAAAGAGCATGCCTATAAACAGAGACATATAATACAATGTCTCTGCTATAAAATATTAGTAAGACCGCAAATGGAATACGCCACGACAGTATGGGATCCGTTCCAGCAAAACCAAATAGATAAATCGAAAATGTACAAAGACGAGCTGCACGATATGTAACCAGCAGAAATAGAAATAGATCAAGTGTCAGCAATATGATTACGGAATTGGGATGGAAAAGCCTACAAACAAGAAGAAAAGAAGCTCGACTCATCATGTGCTACCGAAAATAACAAACGACCTTGTAGCCATAGATAAGAGTAAATACCTACAAAAACCAACAAGAAGCTCTAGCCGGACAGGACATCATACTTACCTTTTACATCCAGCCACCAAAGATTGTAGGAAATGGTCCTTCTTCGTAAACACCGTCAAGGATTGGAACAAACTGCCCGCTCCAGATATCGCTACATCAAAGTCTCTTGAGATATTCAAGTCTCAAGTGACCAAAACTTCTAACTAAATTGATCAACAATTTGTTTTTAACCCGTTTTTAATCATGCGCAACTTGCCAGAATATTCAACATGTTGAATGTGGGCAGTTTTTGGAAAATGAAGAAGAAAGAGCTTATTATTATAATTGCTAGGGACGTCCCCGGTAAGAAAAATTTGGGTACGATTTGTAATTCTCACAACCGGAAGTAAACAAAGTAAAAAGAAAAGGTTCGAAGTCGGGCAATTCAAGTCAAAGGAAGGAAAGACGAAAAGCAAGAAAGTAGTTTGTTATCTTAAATGTTTAAATTTCTCTATCACAAAATGTGCAATTTGGATTTTCATAAATCTTAATCAAATGTCAGAAGAAATTTGTTATTAGCTAAGATTCGATGATTGCATCTACGACAGCCACTAGCTTAGTATTTTTGCTTTTCTAATAATTTATATCTGAATATGCCATTATATGGTGACATTAGTGTTTATGATGACAAATTCCAGGTCAAAGTTCTTGGCTATTGTAATTTCACTTTTGCTCTTCAACAGTTGTGGTCCTTGGATCTCCTGTAGTTGGTGATCGCAATACTGGTATACCAGTATTGTCCACAATACTGGTATAAAAATTTTGTACCAGTATTGTAACTTTAAAAAAAAAAAACAGCAATACTGGTACATTACTGATATACCAGTATTGTAGTTGTATTGTTCACTATACTTTAAGGTGTATAATGAAAAATGAATTTTAAGCAAAATTAGATATTGAAGATCAAAGAGATTAAATGAACTCAAAAAGATTATAGAGGATAATTGTGAAATCAATAAACGTATTTACACTTTTGGTATTAAGCTATATTTTGCCTCCGAATGAGCTTAGATCTACTCCGAATCACCTTTTGACGTCAGACAACAATCACTTTTCAATTGTGACGTCAAATGTTTTGAATTATGATGTCAAAGTTTACTGGAACCTGTGTGATTTTACGTAATGGCGGACAAAATTTACACGTCTATTAACAACCAGTTAAAAATAATTACTATAATTGTACAAATAAACAAAAGATTATTGTAATGAAATCATCTTATTCAAACAATTGTTAATTATATAAATAGTTGCTAATAATTTTATCATACTTCTATATTTTATTTAATTCAATTTAGATAAAATAAAATAAAAGCTTTATTATCTGAGTTATTATTTAATAAATTCAAGCAAATTATTACACTATAACACTGTAAATTCAGCATTTACATGTATGCCATGTATATTTTTTACAGATATTTTAATACATGTATACTAAGATTCTATGCATTTGTTTGTGTTTATTTTCTTATCAATCTTTCACAATAAACATGATAAAAGATATCAATATCCATTAAACATAAAAAGTTGCTTAATAGGGAACCTGATTATAATCAAATTAACTACTTTTACTAGTTTGTCTACATGAATGTTAAGGGTAGTTAAAGCAGTTGATTCAGAACCATGGGCAATACAATTTGTAGCAGATATATCTACTGGTACAAATACTCAAATACTAATACTAGACAAGCACTCCTACAGTAAGAGAGCCATACAGGTCACTGGTGCTATCTAAACAAGCTTGTAATCTAGTAAGCGTAAGAGAAAGTCCACAGACTGAATACATAAATATCAAAAATAGGAAGTGGGGATTGCAGAAATGCCATCTGAAGAAGAAATAGACAATACCAATGCTGATGATACAGAAGCTATAACAGCATTAATGTCAATATAAAATTCACTAAAATATACTATTGAGACTTGGAAAGAGAGAGCTGGAAGAAAAGATAGAAGAAAGTAAAGAGTTTGTTAAAATGCTGAGACAGTATGGTTCCCTTAAGAAAAAAACAACAGAAGATTTAAAACTTTCTTTGATTACAATCACAGTGTACCATAAATGGCATAATCAGTTAAACATACAATCATTCCATATAAAATTGTCATGTCATATGTTAATATCATTATGCATATATATGTGACACCTTTAATAAAAGATTAATTACCTATATGTATTGTTTATTTAAAAAAAAACACAATACTGGTACAATACTGGAATACAATACTGGTACACAATTTTTATACCAGTATTGTGCACAATACTAGTATACCAGTATTGCGATCACCAACTACAGGAGATCCTGGTCCTTGATACATTTTTATATGATGATTGCAATATTTTTGAAGTCGTAAAATGGTACATGTAATGATGTACATGTATGTTGTCTTTGTCATCTGAAAACATTTGGTTTCCAGACAATAACTTGAGATTAAGTGTAGGAAATGTCTGCCTGACCCTGCCTGCGGGGACGAGTAGCCAAATAGGCATTTGTAGGCTAGACTGGTTCTCCTGTCTAGATAAATGTTCATATTACATATTTCATATATCAAGACAGGTAGGGTCCAACACAAATGTAAATATTCAACACATCAAAAAATATTTTACCTCTGAAGCGTGGGAACAACTTAAAATTCTGATCAATAAAAGAAAAGAATTGTGTGAATGGATAACATGGATAAGTATCAAATCATAAAAAAACCTACACGATCAGGACTCTTTGGCATGACATCATTTGATTGCTGTTTAGACTGGCAACATTTGAAATATGCAGGGTTGAAATATGTATCAGAACAATCCAATTGGATATGTAAAAATATTTTCCTAATCTCAAGGATTTGTATAGTGAGATCTCAGGGGAGAGGGGGGGTCAAAAAGTGGGGCGGGGGATTTTTTTCAAATTTTTTTCCCCAAAATTTTTTTCATTTTTACATTGATTATTTCTGATTTATATATAAAAGCAACAAATACTGATATGGCAGGGTGTGTAAATTATTATATATAACAGATTAACTAAATATTGTGCAACAGCACAGTCTTGCACAATAGCAAGAAATCTTCAGTTGAAAATAAATACAAATCTTTTAACCAATTTCAATGGGATTAAATTAAGTCTTTAATTTTTGGGGGTTCTAACCTTGTATTACTATTTTGGATATTGGGCCCCATTTTTAAATTGGTCTACATTGAGGTCCAAAGGGTCCAAAATTTAACTTTGTTTGATTTCATCAAAAACTGAATTGTTGCAGCTCTATGATATGCTGAATCTTATTGTGCATTTAGATTTTTTATTTTGGGCCCTGTTTTCAAATTAGTCCATATTAAGGTTTGAAGGGTCCAAAATTAAACTGTGTTTAATTTCAACTAAAATAAATTTTTTGGTGTTTTTTTATATGCTGAATCTAACGTTAACCATGTTGTTAGATTTTGGATATCAGACCATACTAGGTAAATTAAATGTCCCATTTCAAATTTTTAAGATCTTTGACCACATTTATTTTGTGTCAGAAACCTATATTATGACAAAAATTTGATCCCAATCCAAATTCAGACAGTATCAAGCTTGAATATTGCATTGTGTCCAAACTTGCCCCGACTGTTCAGGGTTCGACCTCTGCGGTCGTAACAGGCTGTGCTCGGCGTAGCATTTTATTTCAAATTCAGTATAATTTTATTCTTTTAATGTGCATATACATTTAATTTCTAATTTTGATCATGTTTTCTTTTATTGGGACTGTACAGTGCATCTAATTTGCAATGTTTATTATGTAATTTTAACTAATAAATACAGATTAAAAAATATAAGTTGCCTTTCTTTTCACTGAATTCAACAAAATCCGTAAATTACTGATAATTTCCCTGTTTATTTCACGTTTCATTGCCGATCAGATGACATTTGATTATAAAATTACAAAGGCCAATTTGGCTACTAGTCCCTGCATGCAGGGTCACACAGACGCTGAATTACACATGGTTACATTTGTTTGTAAGTGTATGGATCTCTATGAAATTGTACCACAAAGTTCCATACCACAAGAAAGGTTGAGATTGATTTTGGGGGACAGGCCTAAGCTGTTTAGGTATTAGGGACCAAAAACTAGGACCAACTTTGGCAGAGGCTTTTTTGTCGAGCCTTCGACTTTTGTCGAAAAAGCGAGGCATAGCGATCCTACATTCCGTCGGCGGCGGCGTCCACAAATATTCACTCTGTGGTTAAAGCTTTTGAAATTTTAATAACTTTCTTAAACTATCCTGGATTTCTACCAAACTTGGACAGAAGCTTGTTTATGATCATAAGATTATATTCCAAAGTAAATTTTGTAAAAAAAAAAATCCATTTTTTCCGTATTTTACTTATAAATGGACTTAGTTTTTCTGCCAGGAAACATTACATTCAATCTGTGGTTAAAGTTTTTAAAATTTTAACAACTTTCTTAAACTATCCTGGATTTGTACCACACTTGGACAGAAACTTGTTTATGATCATAAGATAGTATCTAGAAGGAAATTTTGATAAAATTTTGTTCCATTTTTTCCGTATTTTACTTATAAATGGACTTAGTTTTTCTTCCAGTCAACATAACATACAGTCTGCAGTTTAAGTTTTTAAAACATTTATTAGATTCATAAATTATCCTGGATTTTTACCAAACTTGGACAGAAGCTACTAACATTCAAAAGATAGTATAGAGAGGAATATTTTTATTAATTTTTTTTTCTCATTTTTGTTGAGCCTGGGATTAACAGCAAAAGTATGCAAGACACTGGGTTCCGCGGAACCCTTACAAATGTTTTAAATATATAATATACAGATAATGTCAGGAATCAAAATTTTGAAAATATATTTTTTCATATTTTACTTAATTGATGGATTCAATTTTAAAACCTTCATGGAATGGTATGAAACTTGGTCAGAAGCTTCTTCAAGGTCAAGAAATAGCCTCTGAAAAATTTCTATATTCCACTGATAAATTGGCTTTTTTTTGGTGGTCAGCATTAAATTACACTTTTACAATATGACATAAGCAAACGCAGATAAAACACAGGGAACCCTTTACAAATCTTTTAGAAGGGGTTACTATAGTGAAGACACTGAAGAGAATTAAAAGAAAGTCCAAAGATACCAGAGGGACATTCAAACTCATAAGTTGAAAATAAACTGACAACACCATGGCTAATAAAGAAAAAAACAAACAGACAAACAATAGTACACAAAACACAACATAGAAAACTAAAGACTGAGCAACACAAACCCCACCAAAAACTGGTGGTAATCTCAGGTGCTCTGGAAGGGTAAGCAGATCCTGATCCACATGTGGCACACGTTGTGTTGCTCATGGTAATACAAAACAGGTAATAAGTCACATTCAGGAAAAGGGGACAGGATTGTAGTTATGACATTAGGAACATATCCACTAGCATCTGTGAAACGGATATTCCATAACAGTCAACCAACTCGTGATTGCGTCTGTAATACTTATGAAGGGAAGACTTCAACTTCACCACTTGGAACTATTGGTTTAATAGCTTCCTTGTGAGCTGCAACCCTCTATCAAGGAAATCATGATAGGAAATACAAGCCTTGGAATATCGTATCAACTGGGAGATACATACTCTGTATGCAGGAGCTGCTGGAATGTTGCTACATAGAAATGGAAAGTTCACAATTGGGAGGTTGAAATCATCTCTTTTGTCGTAAAGTTTTGTTTTAACTGACCCTCATTGTCAATTTCTAGATGTAAGTCAAGATATGAGGCAGGCTTAACTGTATCTGTTTTATCTTTTATCTTAACTTCAATGGGATAGATACGTTCAACATAGTCACCAAATTTTGAATTATTTAGTGAGAGAACATCATCTGTGTAGCGGAAAGTAAAGTTAAAGGATACTGTTAACTTCTTTTCTTTCCTCCTAAAAAGTTACTATATGAAGTCAGCCTCATTTGAATAAAGGAACAAGTCGGCAAGAAGAGGGCACAGTTTGTTCCCATGGGAATGCTGATTGTTTGTTGAAAAATATGTCCTTCAAAACTAGCAAATATGTTGTCAATCAAGAAATCAAGCATCTTGATAATGTCAGTTTCAGAGAATTTTTTGTTTGAATCAGAGTGATTTTTTACAAAGTAGGATTTATCCCTCCCTAAGACAAGATACTTGTATCTTTGTTGGCCATTCTTTTTTATGAAACAAAGCAGAATTATTTGTATTTTATGCTTTTAAGTTTTACATTTCTTTTTCAGAATAATATACCGGTATTGATGATTAAAGGCAGATAATGATTACATGAATTTATCTTTCACTTATAACGAGAAAGTTAAACCCAATGAAGAGAAACAGATTGAAACTTTAAATGCTGCACTCAAGTCATTAAAAAAACAGACAAGATATTAACATGTATTATATAAATAGATCTTTCCAATCAACTTTAAACTAAACACAAAGAAGATTGGTGTGAAAACAAAGTGACTGATTCAGAATTAACAGAATATACTAGTGATTTATGGAAGATGAATGGTATGGATACAGAAACAAGAGATATATGGAAGATAAAATGTTTCGATACTTTAACAAAGACATTACAGAAAACAGTAAGTTTTTATGCCCCCGCTGTAGCGGAGGGGGCATTAAGTTTTACCCTTGTCTGTCTGTACGTACAAACGAACGAACATTGCTTATTACCACAAAACAAGTTTGAATTTTGGTGGCGTCACTTTTACCGTTCTAGAGTTATGCGTCTTTACAAATGGAAAAATTGCTGAATTTTTGGTTTCCGTTCTCTAACTTTAGTTTGCCTCAACCAAATGTTATGAAACTTATACACAATGCTTATTACCACAAAACACGGACCAATTTTGCATTTTGGTGGCGTCACTTTAACCCTTCTAGAGTTATGCCCCTTTATAAATGGAAAAATTGCAAAATTTTTATTTTCTTCTAAATATCAAGTAATTTTTATATGCCCGTTTACGGGACGTATTATGGTATACCGTTGACTGTCCGTCCGTCTGTCCGTCCGTCGTCAACATGTCGGACATTAACTCAAAAACGCTTTAACCAATATGCATGAAACTTTGGTGAATTGTTTATATCTATTGACGTGAGCTCCCTTTTGATTTTTATAAATTTTAGACCATATGTTTCCGAGTTTTGGGGTTTTATTCATTCAAAAAGGGGGGATTTTCCAGTTTGTGAACAATAACTCAAAAACAATTTCACCAATTTGCAAGAAACTTTGGTGAATTGTTTATTTCTATTGACATGAGCTCCTTTTTGATTTTTATAAATTTTAGACCATATGTTTCCGATTTATGGGGTTTTATTCATTACAAAAAGGGGGATTTTCCAGTTTTCAGACAATAACTCAAAAATGCTTTCAGCATTTTTAACGAAACTTTGGTGAATTGTTTATATCTATTTAGTATTGATGTCAGCTCCCTTTAGAATTTTATAAATTTTAGATTTTACATTTCTGAGTTATGGGGTTTTATTCATTAAAATAGGGGGGATTTTCCAGTTTTTGGACAATAACTCAAAAACAATTTCACCAATTTGCAAGAAACTTTGGTGAATTGTTTATTTCTATCGACATGAGCTCCCTTTTGATTTTTTTTTAAATTTAAGACTACATGTATATGTTTCTGATTTATGGGGTTTTATTCATTACAAAAAGGGGGATTTTCCAGTTTTCGGACAATAACTCAAAAATGCTTTCAGCATTTTTTATGAAACTTTGGTAAATTGTTTATATCTATTGTTGTAAGCTCCCTTTTGATTTTTATAAATTTAAGATTTTACGTTTCCGAGTTATAAGATTTTATTCATAAAAAAAGGGTTTTTGGACAATATCCTTAAAGTGCTTAGAGCAGTTTTCATTAAACTTTGATGACTGATTTATATCTATTAAGATAACCTCTCTTTAGTTTTTTTATAAATTTCTGATATAACATTGAGAAGTTATTGTTTGTTTATAGTCTGACTCCAGTATTGCGCAACAGCACAGTGTATTGCACAACTGCAAGAAATCTTTAATTGAATATAAATTCAATTCATATAACCAATTTCAAGTTCTTTGACTACATTTATTCAGAAACCTATAATATGTCAAATATTTAATTACAATCCAAATTCAGACCTGTATCAAGCTTGAATATTGTGTCCATTTTTGCCCCAACTGTTCAGGGTTGGACCTCTGCAGGCGTATCCAGCTGCGCTTAGCGAAGCAGTTTATTAAAATTGGAGTTATCTTCTTTTGTCCATGATTATAGTTGAATCAACTACAATCAATGCTTTATACAATGCAATGTTTAATTTTTACTTCCACTGTTAAAACACAGATCAAGTTGAATTTGGGTAGTGTCACTTTAACCATTATTGAGTTATGCCCCTTTATAAATCGAAAGATTGCAAAATTTTTAGTTTCCATTCTGTAACTTAAGTTTGCCCCAACCAAACATTATGAAACCTATACACAATATTCATTACCACAAAACTAAGATCAAGTACAAATTTTTTGTTTCCGTTTTCTAACTTTAGTTTGCCTCAACCAAATGTTATGAAACTTAGACACAATGCTTATTACTTCATAATACAGATTAAGAACGAAATTTGGTGGCGACACTTTTACCATTCTTGAGTTATGTCCCTTTATAAACATAAAAATTGCTGAATTTTTCATTTCCGTTCTCTAACTTTAGTTTGTCTCAACCAAATGTTAAAAAACTTAAACACAACCGTTCTAGAGTTATGCGTGTTTACAAATAGAAAAATTGCTGAATTTTTAGTTTCTGTTCTCTACTTAAGTTAACCTCAACCAAATGTTATGAGACTTACACACAATGCTTATTACCACAAAACTCAGATGAAGTTCAAATTTGGGTAGCGTCACTTGACCGTTCTTCAGTTATGTCCCTTTACAACTATATGATATGCAAGCGGGGTCATCATCTGTGTCCACATGTGGACACTATCCACATTTATTTTTGTTCTCAACTGGTTGTGAAGGTTAAATGTCTTTTGATGAGCTATTGTCAGCTGTTTGTTAAACATTTTCAAAAATACAATTGGCAAGTTAAGTTAATATATTATATTCTAATATGACGTGCTTCTTTCGCTTTGTAAACAACACCGTGATAAAATATGGATATATCTATACTTAGCGCAGACTAAGCGATATACATAATAATGGATGTTACAATATACCTCCCTCGTAAATCCACATCTTATTAGGATGCATAACAAAAAGAATTAATGCACAAGAGCTCGGAGAAATCTACAATTAAATCAAAATAAAATAATATTCCGAAAAAGTCCATAAATGCTTTTGGCGCATTTAAGTCATTTCAAAACATGACGTCATACATGTACAAATGAAAATGTTAAAGCTGAAGGTTTTCCCGTTACATGAACCATTGAAATTCGTATAATATTACATTAAAATGGATTTTTGAGGTAGGTGTTGTTTTATTTTCCTTTTTATTGCATTATTCGCATATTTACTGATTTCAGCAAGTCAACATGGCGGCTCCTTAGTTACGATATGTCAACTTTGGATTTGATGGTAGCTTACGAGAAATACATGTAAATTAAAAATGGCAAATGTTGGGTTTGAGAATTAAAAGAATTAAGCACATTTTTTGCAAAATAATTCATGCAAGCTACAGATTTATTAGAATGTTTTAGCTTTATCTAAGAGGGAGTAAAAAAGAACAGCCACACACACACGGCATACCCACCCTCGCTTCAGTTTTTATACGACCGCAAAATTTTGCTGTCATATATTGGTATGACATTGGCGTCGTTGTTGTCGTCGTCCGAAGACACATTAGTTTTCGCACTATAACTTTAGTTTAAGTGAATGGATCTCTATGAAATTTTACCATAAGGTTCAATACCACAAAAGGAAGGTTGGGATTGATTTTGGGGGTTATGGTACCAACAGTTAAGGAATTAGGGGCCAAAAATAAGCATTTTTGTAACTTCCAGACAATAACTTGTGTGTAAGTGTATGGATCTCTCTGAAATTGTACCACAAGGTTCCATATCACAAAGGGAAGGCTGGAATTGATTTTGGGGGTAATGCCTCAAAATTTTAGGAATAAGGGGCAAAAAAAGGGGCAAAAAACAAGCATTTTTCTAGTTTCATGACAATAACTTGTGTGTAAGTGTTTGGATATTTCTGAAATTGTACTACAAGGTTCCATATCACAAAGGGAAAGCTGGAATTGAGTTTGGGGGTAATTGCCCGAAACGTTTAGGAATTGGGGGCCAAAAATAAGCACTTTTCTAGTTTCCGGACAATAACTTGTGTTCAAGTGTATGGATCTCTCTGAAATTGTACTGCAAGGTACCATACCACAAAGGGAAGGCTGGGATTGATGATGGGGGTAATTGCCTCAATATTTTAGAAATTAGGGGACAAAAAGGGGCAAAAAACAAGCATTTTTCTAGTTTCAGGACAATAACTTGTGTGTAAGTGTATGGATCTTTCTGAAATTGTACTACAAGGTTCCATATCACAAAGGGAAAGCTGGGTTTGAGTTTGGGGGTAATTGCCCGAAACGTTTAGGAATTTGGGGCCAACAAGGGGCCAAAAACACATTTTTCTAGTTTCCAGACAATAACTTGTGTTCAAGTGTATGGATCTCTCTGAAATTGTACTGCAAGGTACCATACCATATTGGGAAGGCTGGGATTGATGATGGGGGTAATTGCCTCAATATTTTAGGAATTAGGGGCCAAAAACACATTTTTCTAGTTTCCAGACAATAACTTGTGTTCAAGTGTATGGATCTCTCTGAAATTGTACTGCAAGGTACCATACCACAAAGGGAAGGCTGGGATTGAGTTTGGGGGTGATGAATCATAAGGGGGTTCAAAAAATTTTGGGGGGGGATTTTTTTTTTTCCTTTTTTTTTTCTTTTAAAATTTTCCATTTTAAGTTGGTTATTTCTGATTTATATTTAAAAGCAAATTATAATGATATGATAGGAGATACACACCAAACAGGATGTGTAAATTTTATATAATAAGTATTGTGCAATAGCAAGAAATTTTCAATTGCACAGTATTGCACAATAGCAAGAAATCTTCAATTTCACAGTATTGCGCAATAACAAGAAATCTTCAATTGCACAGTATTGCGCAATAGCAAGAAATATCCATTAGCACAATATTGCGCAATAGCAAGAAATTGTCAATTGTACAGTATTGCACAAGCACAATAGCAAGAAATATTCAATTGCACAGTATTGTGCAAAAGAAGATACTTCGTATAAATTGCTTATTTCTTGACCAATTTCAATGGGGTTTTATTCTTGAATTCTTGGGGTTCTTTAATATGCTGAATCTAACCGTGTATTAAGTTTTTGGATTTTGGGCCCCATTTTTAAATTGGTCCACATTGAGGTCCAAAGGGTCCAAAATTAAACTTTGTTTGATTTCATCAAAAATTGAATTATTGGGATTCTTTGATATGCCAAATCTAACCGTGTATTTAGATTCTTAATTTTTGGTTCCGTTTTCAAATTGGTCTACATTAAGGTCCAAAGGGTCCAAAAATAAACTTAGTTTGATTTTAACAAAAATTGAATTCTTAGGGTTCTTTGATATGCTGAATCTAAACATGTATTTAGATTTTTGATTATGGGCCCAGTTTTCAAGTTGGTCCAAATCGGGGTCCAAAATTAAACTTTGTTTGATTTCAACAAAAATTGAATATATGAGGTTCTTTGATATGCTGAATCTAACCATGTATTTAGATTTTTGATTTTTGGGCCCCGTTATCAATTTTTTCCACATTGAGGTCAAAAGGGTCCAAAATTAAACTTTGTTTGATTTCATCAAAAATTGAATTCTTGGGGTTCTTTGATATGCTGAATCTAACCATGTATTTAGATTTTGGATATTGGACCATAATAGGTGAATGTCCAATTTAAAATTTTTAAGTTCTTAGACCACATTCATTCTGTGTCAGAAACCTATGCTGTGTCAAATATTTAATCACAGTCCAAATTCAGAGCTGTATCAAGCTTGAATGTTGTGTCCATACTTGCCCCAACTGTTCAGGGTTCGACCTCTGCGGTCGTATCAAGCTGCGCCCTGCGGATTATTTTATTTAATGACTGTATTTGTCCTCTTTGAATCGAAATAATTCATGGAAGCCATAGATTTGTTGTAAGTTTACACATGGCCTGGGCCGTGATATTCGTTAATTTTATCCCTACAGCACAACATAGGAACAAATATAAAAATCAGTTTGATAAAAAAGACAACTCCTCAGATTGATGCAAAGCACAAAAACAACTAACAAAACTACACCTTCAACATCTCAATTTAGTTACAGATAATGTCTCCAATGCATAATTTTATTTCAAATTAGGGAAACATTACTGTTGGCCTTGTTGCAACATGATTATTCAATTTGATCACTCTGTTAACTTGTACAAAATTTATGAACCCTAGATAAATTTTGCTTGCAACATTAATAAATTGGTGATGTGACACATACATATCTTTATACGCAATGAAAATTCTCAACATGAAACAAATGTCAAATCAGTTGCAAGGTTTAGTTTACATATGTTGATCAATGCTCTAGACTTACATGTGTTACAATAATGTTGTAGATCAATTATCTAGAAGATTTGGGTGCAGATGTAGCTGCATGGGTTGTTATACCTGCAACAACAGACAACTGTCAGATAAAGCATGTTGGTAGTAAAAAGGGGGGTGAATTCATCCTAACTAAACCTAGTATTGATGCTGATATACAGTACTTTTTAGAAAATTGTAAGTACATTTAATAGTGTTGTATGGTGAGAGTGATCATTAAACTAACATGAAGTCCCACAGTTCACTGTTGTGTATATTTTTAAGCCCCTGTTACAAAATGACAGTTATCAAGCTAGAACTTTCATTTTATGTAGGGTGTTAGTACATATACTAAAGTGGTTTATATTGTCAGGATTTTAATTTATCAAATTTACACAAATGACAGGTTTGCCATCAAATGTGCCTGAAAAGACCCAACCATCTCAAGTTGTCCTTCAACATCACTGTTACTAAAACCAGTGGGGGCATCATCTTTGACAAGTTTTACCTGCACATACTTGCCCACTTTTATTTCACATGTGAATCATTGACAACTTTGTGTGCTTATAGATAGAGCTACACAGTCCATGACTTTAAAATAATTTTCTCTTATCAAAACCACTTTTATAACTTTTCAAATCTTCCATACATGTTTTTTTTTGCATGAGCCTGCTAAAATAATTACCTAGATTTGATTATGGGTATCATATGTTCATTATGAAATAAACTGCTATGATTGTTAAAGTGCTTAAATCTTTTAAATAAAAAATTAACAGTTGCAGTGCCAACTTAAAATTAAATGGTGTAACTTCTTATGAAAACATGCAATTTTCACTGGACACTTTAAGTTTACAGCTAGTTGGAACTTATTTGTACATCTTTCAAAATCTTATTATTTTAGATAAAAAAAATCAGAAAGATGAAATAAAAAAAGCATCTAAAAAAGTCTTGGTTGATATGTGTATACAACTGTTTGACCAAAAATATGGTAAGTTTAAGTGATAGGCAAGAGTACAATCGGTTGATAAAAGTCTAAAAGATATCTATGGTGGTTGATATTGTATTCAACTGATCGACCAAATGTATGGTAAGTCTGAGGGATATCAATAGTAGTTGATGTATGTGTAAGACTTATTGGCCAAAAGTATGGTAAATCTGAGGGATATCAATAGTAGTTGATGTATGTGTAAGACTTATTGACCAAAAGTATGGTAAATCTGAGGGATATCAATAGTAGTTGATGTATGTGTAAGACTTGTTGACCAAAAGTATGGTAAGTCTGAGGGATATCAATAGTAGTTGATGTATGTGTAAGACTTATTGACCAAAATATGGTAAGTCTGAGGGATATCAATAGTAGTTGATGTATGTGTAAGACTTATTGACCAAAAGTATGGTAAATCTGAGGGATATCAATAGTAGTTGATGTATGTGTAAGACTTATCAACCAAAAGTATGGTTAGTCTGAGGGATATCAATAGTAGTTGATGTATGTGTAAGACTTATTGACCAAAAGTATGGTAAATCTGAGGGATATCAATAGTATTTGATGTATGTGTAAGACTTATTGACCAAAAGTATGGTATACATGTAACTGATTTTTATTCACCTTGCCCAAAGGCCATGTGAGCTTTTGTTATCACTTTCTGTTGTCCGTAAACTTTTATTTGAAAATCTTCACTGAAACTGCTCAATGTATTGAACCAAAGTTTGTCTGCTTCATCTATATGTTGTCAACTATTAAGTCAGGGTTTAAATTAGGATTTTGAGGACTTAAGTCACTTGAATTTTAAGAAAACTGACCTTTCTTGGGTAGCAGCATAACATGATAAAACTTAAAGATACAAAAAGTAACAAAAATATAAAGTTATTGTATAGAGTTTAATACATGAAAAGAAATGCTTACTTTCATTTTCTTTTTTAGTATTTCATTACTGTGACTTGACTGTTAGTGTCGCTCTCCACCTATTGCAACTTATTCAAAATTCTGACCAAATTGCAATTTGTTTTATAAAACCAAACTGTTCAACTGGTCAGAAATTTGAACAAACTGCTGTAGAAAACCACAGTCAAGTCGTGAAAGTGCAAGGTGATAAAATAAAGCATACTTACAATCCTATAAGACTATAATTCCACATCAATGTTACTATGAAAAGTCAGTCTAACAGTTTGTAAAGAAATTTTATTGTTATTGTCATGTTAAAGGGGATAGGTAGTAATTTTGAATTGCTATAAAAATGTCCAAACTAAGGTTTCATACAATTTTTCTTTCAAAAAGTCTTCTATATTCATAAGAATCAGACATCATTTGAATTAAAACACAATTATACAATAAAGATTAAAACAAAACAGCTGTTAAACTTCAAAAGCTATGTATTGTATGTTTTTGTTTTGATTGTTATGTATCAAGACAGGGACTAATGTGACTAATATAATGAATCTATTAGTCAATGCTTCTGTCCTAAAAATTAGCTTATGGTCTGTATATGCTGCAGAATAGAGAACAATTTTCAACAAAGATCCCTAAGACTTCACAGAAAGATTGTACACATGTTGAAGTTATGCACCTGCTATTATGGAAGTGTTTGAAAACATTTTCACATTTTTCTGGACTTGAAAACTTAGTTATTTTTCAGCAAAATTTACAACTTCAAGTAATTGCTAATACATTGAAAACATTCTACATTGATTAGTCACAAGCATTTCAATCCCATCATTTGAGACTTTTACCCATTTTTTGTTTATACTCTATACCACCTTAAAAGCATTTTATTACATCTATTAATGATTCTGTCTAGACTTCTGAATATTTTTTTTCTTTAACAGCTGAAGCTTTACAGAAATTTCACTCGAAGTTTCCATACAGCTTGTTAACTCTGCGTGGAAAACCATGGTTTACATTGTCAGGGTTTCCTAAGGACCTTCTTCCCTTCAGACATCCATCAGAGTATGATGTACACAGTTTACAGAGTATTATAAACTGCAAAGATTTGGTTAAATTCAACATACTTCATAAAAAGTAAGATCAGTATAGCCACATTACTAGCTTTAAGAACCAAAGGCTAGTTGAATTTTATACGACCGCAAAAAAATTTTGTGGTCGTATATTGGTATGACGTTGGCGTCGTCGTCGTCGTCGTCGGCGTCGTCGTCGTCCGAATACATATTGGTTTTCGCACTCTAACTTTAGTTTAAGTGAATGGATCTTTTTGAAATTTGACCATAAGGTTAAATACCACAAAAGGAAGGTTGGGATTGATTTTGGGGGTTATGGTACCAACAGTTAAGGAATTAGGGGCCAAAAAGGGGCCAAAAATGAGCATTTTCTAGTTTCCAGACAATAACTGTGGAACGGTGTATGGATCTCTCTGAAATTATACTACAAGTTTCCATACCACAAAGGGATGGTTAGGATTTGCTTTGGGGGGTTATGGCTCAAACCGTTTAGGAATTAGGGGCAAAAAAGGGGGAAAAACAAGGTTGTCCTGGTTAATGGACAAATACTTTAGTACAAAACATAATTTAAAGCAGTGTAAGGGAGATAAATCAAATACATCATTGAAATTATCTCCCTTACACTGCTTTTAAATTATGTATAAAGTAATGGTTAATGAACAATAAAGATAATCTAAAACAGTGTAAGGGAGGTAATCCTTTTTTTTTGGGGGGGGAAAAGGGGGGGGGATGAAAAGAAATTGTGGGGGGCCAATTTTTTCTCATTTCAGATTTCAGAAATTAAAAAGAATTATTCTTCAAATATTATTTTTTTTTCAAATTTCAAATATTGAAAAATTTCAAGAAGTAATCTTTAATTGCACAGTATGGTGCATTAGATTTGTAAAATCTTTGATCACATTTATTTATTTGTTATGCCGAATCTAACAGTGTATTTAGATTTTTAATTTTGGGTCCAGTTTTCAAATTGGTCTACATTAATGTCCAAAGGGTCCAAAATTAAACTTTGTTTGATTTTAGCAAAAATTGAATATATGAGGTTCTTTGATATGCTGAATCTAAACATGTATTTAGATTTTTTATTTTTGGCCCAGTTTTCAAGTTGGTCCAAATTGGGGTCCAAAATTAAACTTTGTTTGATTTCAACAAAAATTGAATATATGGGGTTCTTTGATATGCTGAATCTAACCATGTATTTAGATTTTTTATTTGTGGACCCCGTTATCTAATTGGTTCATATTGAGGTCAAAAGGGTCCAAAATTAAACTTTGTTTGATTTCATCTAAAATTGAATTATTGGGGTTCTTTGATATTCCAAATCTAACCGTGTATTTAGGTTTTTAATTTTGGGTCCTGTTTTTTAAATTGGTCTACATTGAGGTCCAAAGGGTCCAAAATTAAACTTAGTTTGATTTTGACAAAAATTGAATTCTTGGGGTTATTTGATTTGCTGAATCTAAACATGTGTTTAGATTTTTGATTATGGGCCCAGTTTTCAAGTTGGTCCAAGATAGGGTCCAGTATTTAAACTTTGTTTGATTTCAACAAAAATTGAATATATGGGGTTCTTTGATATGCTGAATCTAAACATGTATTTAGATTTTTGATTATGGGCCCAGTTTTCAAGTTGGTCCAAATTGGGGTCCAAAATTAAACTTTGTTTGATTTCAACAAAAATTGAATATATGAGGTTCTTTGATATGCTGAATCTAACCATGTATTTAGATTTTTTATTTGTAGGCCCCGCTATCAAATTGGTTCATATTGAGGTCAAAAGGGTCCAAAATTAAACTTTGTTTGATTTCATCGAAAATTGAATTATTGGGGTTCTTTGATATGCCAAATCTAACCGTGTTTTTAGATTTTTAATTTGGGTCCCGTTTTTTAAATTGGTCTTCATTGAGGTCCAAAGGGTCCAAAATTAAACTTAGTTTGATTTTAACAAAAATTGAATGCTTGGGGTTCTTTGATATGCTGAATCTAAACATGTGTTTAGATTTTTGATTATGGGCCCAGTTTTCAAGTTGGTCCAAGTTGGGGTCCAAAATTAAACTTTTTTTGATTTCAACAAAAATTGAATATATGGGGTTCTTTGATATGCTGAATCTAACCATGAATTTAGATTTTATATTTGGGGGACCCGCTATCAAATTGGTTCATATTGAGGTCAAAAGGGTCCAAAATTAAACTTTGTTTGATTTCATCAAAAATTGAATTATTGGGGTTCTTTGATATTCCAAATCTAACCGTGTATTTAGATTTTTAATTTTAAGTCCCGTTTTTTAAATTGGTCTACATTAAGGTCCAAAGGGTCCAAAATTAAACTTAGTTTGATTTTAGCAAAAATTGAATTCTTGGGGTTCTTTGATATGCTGAATCTAAACATGTGTTTAGATTTTTGATTATGGGCCCAGTTTTCAAGTTTGTCCAAGTTTGGGTCCAAAATTAAACTTTGTTTGATTTTAACAAAAATTGAATATATGGGGTTCTTTGATATGCTGAATCTAACCATGTATTTTGATTTTGGACATTGGACCATAATAGGTAAATTAAAAAAATTCAAGTTCTTAGACCACATTCTTTCTGTGTCAGAAACCTATGCTGTGTCAAATATTTAATAACAATCCAAATTCAGAGCTGTATCAAGCTTGAATGTTGTGTCCATACTTGCCCCAACTGTTCAGGGTTCGACCTCTGCGGTCGTATCAAGCTGCGCCCCAGCGAAGCATTTTATTTTTTATTGAAGTAGGGATGTCTTTTTTTACTTAACTTTGACAAAGTTAAGGGAGACTATTGTAATACCCTAATTGTTTGCTTCCAAAACAGCATCTGATAACCTAAATAACATACAGCTATACAATTTGTAGTGCAGATTCAGTACATGCTTTAAAAGGATGGTCATGTGACTCATAATAAGATTTAGATTTTTTATTTTGGTTGTGATTCAGCAACTTTCACATCTTTATATTGAAAAAGCCTTCAAATTATGTATCAAATGTGTTGGTCAATTTTTAAACTCTCTAACAGCTTTTTATTATAAATTACCTTTTAACCCACAGTTAATTAACTATAGTAGATATTAACTTGTTTGAAAAATCACCTCAGAGGTCATGGGAAAATAAGCTGTTAATAGAAGTCAAAGTTCTTATTGTTTACAGGGTGAATATATGACACATAACACAATACAATAATAGAAATAAATAGTATTTTTTGTATATGACAAATTTTGCTAAAGAAGAGCCATTTATATGATCATTCATGAGAAAACAAATATAGTATGCACAACTACACCTAATATTATTACAACTTTTATTTTTATTAGATTACAAGATGCGTATTATAACAAAGAACCCTGCAATAACATGACAAAGTCTGCCCTGCAAAGTAGATTATCAGGTGTTGTAAGAAAATCTCAGGACCAAATGGATAAAGATTTAATGTCTGTTATAGAAAAGGATACAGCTTCACTTGACCATCAGCAGGGGAAAAAATCAAAAAGGAAGCAAAGAAAAGAGAAAACAAAGTGTACAAATGACTTAATAGTAAGGAGGTCCAAAAGGAGAAAAACATCAAAAACAAAAAAATATGTTTCACTATTGACTCCATCTTGTATATCTAATGCTACATTAAAGAAAATCAATCAGAAAGATCAGAAGTTAAAACCAAAAACACAAGATTTAGCTGTTACAAATACAAATGATAAAACATTTATAATGCAAATAAAAGAAGAACCTGCAGATCCAGATGACAATCCTATACCAGCAATCTGTAGGGAGGAAGATGATAGTAATATATCTAACCATAGATCTGTTCCACTAAATGTTTCTGGTTGCAGGTCCAGTACAAAATATGTCTGGGAGTCAGATAATAACCATACAAAGTCAGATATAATTGATAGTGTTGAAATGACATGTGAAGATTCTTATGATAATCTACCATTTTGTAATTACTCTCAGTCTGGTGCTTTTTACTTTCATTCTGGTCTAGAAGACACTCAAAACTCAGAAAACTTGAAGAATAATTTTTCATGTTCCATGGACTCAAATAATGCAGAAAATATTATGATTAAGATTGAGCCAATTGAGCATTGAAAATTCTGTTCTGTAATGATAAATCATATATTTAACATCATTTACTATTTGATAACAGTTCAGATATTTTATATATTTCAAATAAAAATATGTAATTTGTTCCAATAATTCATTGTATTAATTGACAGACTGAAACACTTTTTGTCTCGCCTTGACAGAGTCAAAAAGCAAGACATAGGTATGCTGTTTCTGGCGTTAACGTCAACAATGTACCGTATAGCGGGTTATTTTCGCGGGTCAGGGGAAATCGCGAAAATAAATCCGCAATTATTTATGCATACGTTCGATACTTTCTAATAGATAAAGCGTTTTGTAAACTATCTTTTTTTTTACCGTTCAACGGATCAATAACGGTTTATGTTAATTTAAACAACATAAATGCCAAAGGCCATTGGTCACTGACTGTTATGTGTTAATTAGTTTATTGGTTACATAATAAACTTAATAATAATATAAGAGTGTAAGGTACGCTGTCAGGTATTTTATCCTTATCAATTCGTGTCAAATCATATAAGAGTTGCAAGTCACTCATGATAGTTTTATAATATAATTAGTACATCAAAGGTCCGTTCAATTTAGTAACTTATCAACCGTAACATTTACAAGAAGTTTGTAAACCTGTAACAAATAACTATGTACCGGTATTCTATTGATTAACTGTCTCAAAATATAATCAATAAATAAGACGTCATGCAGGTAAAACAATCATTTAACCATAATAAAATGTCCTTGTTTGTCAATTTTTACAACATTGTAACTGCAACCATTTCAGTATCCGCTAAAATATTTAATTGGGATTAAAGAATCCGCCAAAATAAAAACCGCCAAAATTTTTCGTATACTTTGTTGCCCGTAAATCGCGAAATTTTACATCCGCGAAAATAACCCGCTATACGGTATTAGTTTGTGATTAGGTCTAGTTTATGGTGAACCGCTAGTGGTAGGTCAATGATATTTGGTATGCAGTTGTATTAGCAATGGCACATCTCATTACCATGGAGATTTATTTGACCCAGCCCCCTCAGTCATGGTCTATTGACTTTGAAACTTTGCTTAGTTTACATGTATTATGTGATTAAGTCAGTTTATGGGGAACCACTAGTGGTAGGTCAATGATATTTGGTATGCAGTTGTATAAGCATTGGCATATCTTATTTCCATGGAGATTATTTGGCCGCGCCCCCTCAGTCATGGTTTATTGACTTTGAAACTTTTGCTTAGTTTTCATGTATTAATTTGTGATTAGGTCAGTTTATGGGGAACCACTAGTGGTAGGTCAATGATATTTGATATGCAGTTGTATAAGCATTGGCATATCTCATTTCCATAGAGATTATTTGGCCGCGCCCCCTCAGTCATGGTTTATTGACTTTGAAACTTTTGCTTAGTTTTCATGTATTAGTTTGTGATTAGGTCAGTTTAAGGGGAACCATTAGTGGTAGGTCAATGATAATTGGTATGCAGTTGTATAAGCATTAGCACATCTCATGTCCATGGAGAATTTTTAGTCCTTACCCCTCAGTCATGGTCTATTGACTTCGAAACTTTTGCCTAGTTTACATGTATTAGTTTGTGATTAGGTCAGTTTACGATGAACCACTTATGTTAAGTCAATGATATTTGGTATGCAAATGTATTGTCATGTGCAAGTTTCATATCCATGGAGATTATATAGCCCCACCCCCTCATCATGGTTCATTGACTTTGACTTTTACAGGTTTGTTAAAGGGCACAACTTGTGAAAAGTCAATGGTATTTGGTTTGCAGTTATATTAGCATTGGCACATCTCATTTCCATAGAGATTGTTTAGCCCTGTACCTTCAGTCATGGTTCATTGACTTTGAATATTTGCATAACTTGCATGTTATTTTAATTTCAACATTTGCATTATCAAAATAACAAATAGGCGAGATATATCTCTGTGTTAACAGTTTATTATACTAACTCCTTCATTTATTTAAACTTAATACAAGAAATAACAAAGTGACCTTATGGGTAACTGACCAAACATTATGAAATTAATAGTCTGAGTTTATATTTGTCATATACATTGTACTTTCATATCAAGAAAATATTTTGATTTGAAAAAATGGGATTTTTTTTGTGGAGATTTATTATTGTAAAACAGACAATACATAATGGGAAATTTTAGCATATTTGGGTCTTATTTCAAACCTTCTCCTTTAACAGAGACTATCAAAGATCTTCCATCAATATAGAATAAAATGTTCTGCGGGGCGCAGCTTGATACGACCACAGAAGTCGAACCCTGAACAGCTAGGGCAAGTATGGATGGACACTACATTCAAGCTTGATACAGCTTTTAATTTGGATTGTGATTAAATGTTTGAAACATCATAGGTTTCTTACACAGAATAAATGTGGTCACAGAACTGAAAAATTTGAAATTGGACTTTTACCTATTTTGGTCCAATATCCCAAATCTAAATGCATGTCTAGATTCAGCATATCACAGAATATGGTTAGATTCAGCATATTATAGAACCCAAAGAATTAATTTTTGATGAAATAAAATTTAATTTTGGACCCTGTGGACGTCAATGTAGACCAATTTGATAACAGGGTCCTGAAAATCCAAAATCTAAATACATGGATAGATTCAGCATATCAAAGAACACCATATACTGTAAATTCAGAAATTATTGCGAGGTTTTTATTATTGCCCTATTTCAAATAATATATATAAATGTAATACAAATTGTGTGTAATTTTTATAGGAAGGAATTTTAATTTTTTTTTTAATAATAATCATAATAGTCATAATAATAATAATAATGATATATGTAATAATAATTTTTTATCTAAAGAGGGTTACACAGTTAGCTGTAAAACTAATTGTACCTGAGGCCCTTGTGAAATACATTGAAATATAACAAACAAGGAATTACAAAATAATCAAAAAAAAAACACACATTAGCTAAGGTGTCAGGAATTAATACATCAAAAACTTTCCTTTATTCATTTTAATATTTAACTTCCATGATAAGTTAAAACAAGAGTGCACGCAGTGAAATGTCTTGCCTGTTTTACTTACCATTGATTTTATATTGAAAGTCTTAAAGATAAAGGTTTTATTACAAGTATCACATAAACTTAACATTCTAAAGATCCATGACAATGAGGTCAAGGTCAGATAAAAACTGTCACACAGAGATGTACACCTTACAATTATTTCATACACCAAATATAGTTGACCCATTGCTTAAGATAATCGAAAAACAGACCAAAACACAAAAAATTAATGTTAACCAATGAACCATGGAAATGAGGTCAAGATCAGATGATACTGGCTAGACAGATATGTACACCTTATAATCATTCCATACACCTATTATAGTTGACCTGTTAGTATTTGAAAAACAGACCAAAACACAAAAACTTAACATTGACCAATGAACCATGAAAATGAAGTCAAGGTCAGATGACACCAGCTAAACAGACATGTACATCTAACAATCATTCAATAAACCAAATATAGTTGACCTATTGCTTATAGTACTTGAAAAACAGACAAAAACACAAAAACACTGACCAATGAACCAAGAAAATGAGGTACAAATAGTTTACGCCGCAGGATAGTAATACCTGTCTGGCATAGTGCGACGAAAATGGTAAAATAAACAAAATTTCAATTATCTTCATTGTTCCTGTCCTGGAGTGGTAATAGCAGAAACTGGATATAATCTTCCTCCATATTAACAAACTCAGTTTTTGTCTCTCCTGGTCCGAGGACACAGTTATCGTCCTTAGATTTTCGTTGTTTTACAAATATAGTCCCTAGTATGGACAGTGTATAACTTGCAAATTTTTTTCATACACTTTCCAAATTTATTTATTTATATTTTATGCATGAAATATTAAGTAAAGGGATGAAATTACATGTTAAAAAAGTTTGGGTGCTGAATCTTTATGTTAAGTAGTGATTTGGTCCAGTTCAAAAAGGTCAAAAACTAGTATGTCTGAAGCTGTCAAACTGAATTTTAGACCCCCTTAACATAGAATTGTCAATATTTTGAGTTAGAGCTGGTAGACTTTTCTATAATTTTGATATTATTTGTCCCAATAGTAATACACTACACTGTAAAAATCTTTTCGAAATAGAACAGGTGCGATTTTTTTTAATTTGAAAATTGTCTAAAAGAAATGCACTACGAAATAACTGTGTTCTCGGGCCTCCTGCGAAGAAAGTCGCAGTAAGCAAGACATAGGTATTACTATCCGGCGATGTAAATTATTTGTATAAAGCTTTATATTTCAGAAGGTAGAATACCTGGATGTTTTATATCTTGTATGCAGATACCTTATGTTACGAAGTTTCTGACTGTCATATGTCCAATGTCATTGACCTCATTTTCATGGTTCAACCACTTTTTGAAGAAAAAAATTTGAGTTTTTTTGTCGTGTGAATTTCTCACTTATTATGAGTAATAGGATAACCATATTTGGTATATGGGTTCCTTGCAACGTCTACATGTCAGTCAGACAGGGTTCACCTGACCACGACCTCATTTCATGGATCAGTGATCAAGTTTAAAGTTACGTGATTAGGTCCGTTTCTCAAATACTATAAGCAGCAGGGCAGCTAGGCAGCTATATATATGTGGTGTATGGAATAACTGTAATGGGTACATGTCAGTCTGGCAGGTTTCATCTGACCTTGACCTCATTTTCATGGTTCATTGGTCAATGTTAAGGTTTTATACGACCACCAAAAAAATATTTGCAGTTGTATATTGGTATGACGTTGGCGTCGTCCGGCATGGTCGTCGTCATCGTCCGAAGACACATTGGTTTTCACACAATAACTTTAGTTTAAGTGAATGGATCTCTATGAAATTTTACCATAAGGTTCAATACCACAAAAAGGAGGTTGGGATTGATTTTGGGGGTTATGGTACCAACAGTTAAGGAATTAGGGGCCAAAAAGGGGCTAAAAATAAGCATTTTTGTAACTTCCAGACAATAACTTGTGTGTTAGTATATGGATCTCTCTGACATTGTACCACAATGTTCCAAATTACAAATTAAAGGGAATGCTGGGATTGATTTGGGGGGTAATTGCCTCAAAATTTAAGGAATGAGGGGG